GTAGTGAAAGGTACACAGTGATGTAGTGAAGGTTACACAGTGATGTAGTGAAGGTTACACAGTGGTGTAGTGAAGGTTACACGTTGATGTAGTGAAGGGTACACAGTGATGTAGTGAAAGGTACACAGTGATGTAGTGAAGGTTACACGGTGATGTAGTGAAGGTTACACGTTGATGTAGTGAAGGGTACACAGTGATGTAGTGAAAGGTACACAGTGATGTAGTGAAGGTTACACAGTGATGTAGTGAAGGTTACACGTTGATGTAGTGAAAGGTACACAGTGATGTAGTGAAGGTTACACGTTGATGTAGTGAAGGTTACACGTTGATGTAGTGAAGGGTACACGTTGATGTAGTGAAAGGTACACAGTGATGTAGTGAAGGTTACACGTTGATGTAGTGAAGGTTACACGTTGATGTAGTGAAAGGTACACAGTGATGTAGTGAAGGTTACACAGTGATGTAGTGAAGGTTACACGTTGATGTAGTGAAGGGTACACGTTGATGTAGTGAAAGGTACACAGTGATGTAGTGAAGGGTACACGTTGATGTAGTGAAGGTTACACAGTGATGTAGTGAAGGTTACACGTTGATGTAGTGAAGGTTACACAGTGATGTAGTAAAGGGTACACGTTGATGTAGTGAAGGTTACACAGTGAAGTAGTGAAGGGTACACAGTGGTGTAGTGAAGGGTACACAGTGGTGTAGTGAAGGTTACACGGTGATGTAGTGAAGGGTACACAGTGATGTAGTGAAGGTTACACGGTGGTGTAGTGAAGGGTACACGTTGATGTAGTGAAGGTTACACGTTGATGTAGTGAAGGTTACACGTTGATGTAGTGAAGGGTACACAGTGATGTAGTGAAGGTTACACAGTGATGTAGTGAAGGTTACACAGTGATGTAGTGAAGGTTACACGTTGATGTAGTGAAGGTTACACGTTGATGTAGTGAAGGGTACACAGTGGTGTAGTGAAGGGTACACAGTGGTGTAGTGAAGGTTACACGGTGATGTAGTGAAGGGTACACAGTGATGTAGTGAAGGTTACACGGTGGTGTAGTGAAGGGTACACGTTGATGTAGTGAAGGTTACACGTTGATGTAGTGAAGGTTACACGTTGATGTAGTGAAGGGTACACAGTGATGTAGTGAAGGTTACACAGTGATGTAGTGAAGGTTACACAGTGGTGTAGTGAAGGTTACACGTTGATGTAGTGAAGGGTACACGTTGATGTAGTGAAGGGTACACGTTGATGTAGTGAAGGTTACACGTTGATGTAGTGAAGGGTACACGTTGATGTAGTGAAAGGTACACAGTGATGTAGTGAAGGTTACACAGTGATGTAGTGAAGGTTACACGTTGATGTAGTGAAAGGTACACAGTGATGTAGTGAAGGGTACACGTTGATGTAGTGAAAGGTACACAGTGATGTAGTGAAGGTTACACGGTGGTGTAGTGAAGGGTACACGTTGATGTAGTGAAGGTTACACGTTGATGTAGTGAAGGTTACACGTTGATGTAGTGAAGGGTACACAGTGATGTAGTAAAGGGTACACGTTGATGTAGTGAAGGTTACACAGTGAAGTAGTGAAGGGTACACAGTGGTGTAGTGAAGGGTACACAGTGATGTAGTGAAAGGTACACAGTGATGTAGTGAAGGGTACACGTTGATGTAGTGAAGGGTACACAGTGGTGTAGTGAAGGGTACACAGTGATGTAGTGAAGGGTACACAGTGATGTAGTGAAGGTTACACAGTGATGTAGTGAAGGTTACACGTTGATGTAGTGAAGGGTACACAGTGGTGTAGTGAAGGGTACACAGTGATGTAGTGAAGGTTACACGTTGATGTAGTGAAGGTTACACAGTGGTGTAGTGAAGGTTACACAGTGATGTAGTGAAGGTTACACGGTGGTGTAGTGAAGAATACACGGTGGTGTAGTGAAGGTTACACAGTGATGTAGTGAAGAATACACGGTGATGTAGTGAAGGTTACACGGTGGTGTAGTGAAGGGTACACAGTGATGTAGTGAAGGTTACACAGTGGTGTAGTGAAGGGTACACAGTGATGTAGTGAAGGTTACACGGTGATGTAGTGAAGGGTACACAGTGGTGTAGTGAAGGTTACACGGTGATGTAGTGAAGGGTACACGTTGATGTAGTGAAGGGTACACGTTGATGTAGTGAAGGGTACACAGTGGTGTAGTGAAGCATACACGGTGATGTAGTGAAGGTTACACAGTGGTGTAGTGAAGCATACACGGTGATGTAGTGAAGGTTACACGTTGGTGTAGTGAAGGGTACACGGTGGTGTAGTGAAGCATACACAGTGATGTAGTAAAGGGTACACGTTGGTGTAGTGAAGGGTACACGGTGGTGTAGTGAAGCATACACAGTGATGTAGTAAAGGGTACACAGTGGTGTAGTGAAGCATACACAGTGATGTAGTAAAGGGTACACAGTGATGTAGTAAAGGGTACACGTTGGTGTAGTGAAGGGTACACGGTGGTGTAGTGAAGCATACACAGTGATGTAGTAAAGGGTACACAGTGATGTAGTAAAGGGTACACGTTGGTGTAGTGAAGGGTACACGGTGGTGTAGTGAAGCATACACAGTGATGTAGTAAAGGGTACACAGTGGTGAAGTAAAGGGTACACGGTGGTGTAGTGAAAGGTACACGGTGATGTAGTGAAGGATACACAGTGATGTAGTGAAGGATACACGTTGATGTAGTGAGGGGTACACGGTGATGTAGTGAAGGGTACACAGTGGTGTAGTGAAGCATACACAGTGATGTAGTAAAGGGTACACAGTGGTGAAGTAAAGGGTACACGGTGGTGTAGTGAAAGGTACACGGTGATGTAGTGAAGGGTACACAGTGATGAAGTGAAGGATACACGTTGATGTAGTGAGGGGTACACGGTGATGTAGTGAAGGGTACACAGTGGTGTAGTGAAGGGTACACGTTGATGTAGTTAAGGATACACAGTGGTGTAGTGAAGGATACACGGTGATGTCTTGAAGGATACACGGTGATGTCGTGAAGGATACACGGTGATGTAGTGAAGGATACACAGTGATGTAGTGAAGGGTACACGTTGATGTAGTTAAGGGTACAAGGGTACACGTTGATGCAGTTAAGGGTGCAAGGGTACACGTTGATGTAGTTAAGGGTGCAAGGGTACACGTAGACGTAGTTAAGGGTTCAAGGGTACACGTTGATGTAGTTAAGGGTGCAAGGGTACACGTTGATGTAGTTAAGGGTGCAAGGGTACACGTAGATGTAGTTAAGGGTTCAAGGGTACACGTTGATCTAGTTAAGGGTGCAAGGGTACACGTTGATGTAGTTAAGGGTACACGTTGATGTAGTTAAGGGTACACGTTGATGTAGTTAAGGGTACACGTTGATGTAGTTAAGGGTACACGTTGATGTAGTTAAGGGTTCAAGGGTACACATTGATGTAGTTAAGGGTGCAAGGGTACACATTGATGTAGTTAAGGATGCAAGGGTGCACGTTGATGTAGTTAAGGGTACAAGGGTGCACGTTGATGTAGTTAAGAGTATTGTGGTAACACATTGAAGGTTTTCAGGGAATACCCGGGAACCCAGTTATTGATACTGATTTAAAGTAGAATGTGAACCACATTCTCAATGTTTTTTAAATCCAGCTACGATTATTATGGCTCTCCCGCCATCACATCTAGCATGAAGACCAACTGTAGATTGGTTCAGACTTACACTCCTGTGTGTGAGGAGAAACACGCGGCCACCACCATGGTGTCCGAGATCAATACAGACTACCACTTGTCAAGTGTGCAATATTGGGTTATTTATTCATGAGAATAGATGTATGCCAGAGAGTCTCTCCAGGGGTAATTACCCCATTCTCCGGCTAATATAGTTAGGTATATGTCATCATTACTGTACTAGTTGTATAAAGACCAGTCGATCTTTGTTTTGCCCTGAGATACGTGGAAGCTGAAATATTACAGCAGCATCCGACATTGTCTTGCATACGTTTCCCATTTTTCTGACTACACTGTCTTCTTCATCAAGACTGATATCTTACCTTCAGTGTATAAACGGCATGGCACCATAAACATGTTCAAACAATATGCTCTACCCAGTTATAACCCTTCATGTGTTGGCACCACACAAGTGGTCATGCAGGCCATTAGTCAATGTCAATGTCTACGACCTTCGTCACATTGTGCTTGGCGCCTCCATGAAGGTGACACGCCATGGCTGTCGGCTCTGTGCAAGAATAGCGAAATTTAGACTACATTGACCTTTCCTGAAAATGTTAGGTTAGTCTTCTGCAACGCCGTGTCATTTGTGTAGTTCCCGTCTAAAACAATTATAAATAGACACAATATCGTACGAATAGAAAACAGCAGCAAACTAATTTCTTTATTGCTAATTTTATATTAGGTGGCAGTTATAAAACTCAGGAACCAGAGCCTTTGTAGCGCCTACAACTACATTTTCCCCATTCAGCACTATTGCAGCTATATGACGGCAGTCTGTACATACAATTTTATGTTAAATTGGCACTAGTCCTGTAGTCCTTGTCAAACTGACCAATAGCTAAGGTATCATAAGGACTGGTAGATTTACCTTTTTAAAGGGTTTTGCTATATATTATCATTATCAAGGACTAGAGGACAAAAAATGTTAGTTTCTACCGCTGAAACATCCAATCAAGTTAGTCGCCTTTTATGGCAAGCATGGGTTGCTGAAGAGCTACAGTACCCCGGATCTTCACGAGTATACTGTTCAGGCAGTTGTTACCAGGACCGCTGTTGTTATATCAATTCTAAGTATAAACACCAATGTGCATATTGTTTCAGTTATATGAAGCTGTCAGCACAAGCGTTATTGTTGTCTTTTGATATCATCACCAATGTCTCGGGCAATTGTTCGCCAATACGTCACCCGAAATATTTCTACATCGATTAATATAAGTGTCTAAATAAGTATACGGGATCTGACTATTTCAGGAACTGTGGCGAGATGGCCTCCGACTCCTCGATGTTTGATACGGCTCCCACCTGTGCATCTGGAGCCAAGATCCTGTACGCCTGGGCCATGGACGCTCCCAGCCTGTCTCTACCTAAAGGTAGGCAATGTGTAGATGCATGTTACAATAATTGCGGTTGCAGTTCATATCTTCGTGTCGTGTCCAGTGCAGTGGAGATTGTACTTGAGACTCGTCTCGCAGATAGATACAAGACAGATCCTCGACAGTCTGACTACTTTCGTCACAAAGACGTTTATCATCCATAATATCTTTTCATTACAACTGCCGAATACTTCAATTACTCTGAGTTAAGAGAGACGTTACCATCTCAATTGCCTTTGTCCTTGGAATACACGATAGTCTACTCTAGTAAATGATGAACGGACAATTACATGGGATACACGATAGTCTACTCTAGTAAATGATGAGCGGACAATTACATGGGATACACGATAGTTTACACTAGTAAATGATGAACGGACAATTACATGGGATACACGATAGTTTACACTAGTAAATGATGAACGGACAATTACATGGGATACACGATATCTACTCTAGTAAATGATGAACGGACAGTTACATGGGATACACGATAGTCTTCTCTAGTAAATGATGAACGGACAGTTACATGGTATACACGATAGTCTACTCTTGTAAATGATGAACTGACAATTACATGGGATACACGATAGTCTACTCTAGTAAATGATGAACGGACAATTACATGGGATACACGATAGTCTACTCTAGTAAATGATGAACGGACAGCAACATTTGGTCACCTCGTTATCACACTTGGACAGACATTCGTCAAACCCCATCAACAATTACTTGAATCAAATCAACCATACTCACAACCAGCTACATGGGAATATAAAATCTATGTATTGCAATATCCCTAAGCTCATCGGTGGATGTTTTGTGTGTGATAACGATGTCCCAGTGTCTGCCTCCGTACCATTATCCCCATGAAAACACCGATGTTTGCACAGCAATCTCACGGCCGCACGACTTCGCTGACTGGATGTTCTGAACTCTGGCTCCCAAACTCGGCGTATTCATCTGGCACAATTTCAATCCTATCAAGTAGAAAGAACCATGTGTCTATCAAGGACTTTTCACCCTCCGGGGAACTCCCAGAGCTATCATCGCCAAGCCTAATGTCTTATGTTCGTGTGTTCAATCGTTCTGAATATTTCATTTAGCCATTTTTGTTATATTCTAGACCCATGAGGATATTGAAATGAAACAGAAAAAGTTGAAAGGGTTAATGACCAAATGTCGCACTGTGTTTGTGGGCATCTGAATAGTAGGATACTATGGTATACATAGGACATCATTCTCTGACCAGACGGGTTTTACAATGGAATGTCAAAGGTGTTCTATTTGTCATTTGCGAAATATGAGAAAATAATGACGCTTTTGCATACTTGGCGTTGTATTTTCATAAAATATTTATCAAGGGAAGACGGGTGAACTAAAACAGCTGCGTGTGGATGTCCTGAAGGCGAAGGCATTCAGGAACGATGTGGCCACTGACAGGCCCAGTTAGTGAAAATAAGAAATGTGTTTGAAGAAATTATGAAAAAACCCACGAGAATTGTAAATCCGAATGATTCTGTAAAGAGATATGAAAATGAAACGACACATGAAACAATTATAACGTATGATTACTCGAAAGATAAAAATAAACCTTACGATGATTTAATTAGAATATGAATGTGTAAATATGTGCAATCAACGTTGCCGACGGCATGACTAGATTGTATGTATTATGTATTATCGACTGGCTATGGATGTACTGTTCAATCATGTGTATATATTAACACGTTGTAAGACTGGAAGCAGCTGGTCGTCAAGTAATGAACTGATATTTATTTCGACGTTAGTCAGTTAAGCGTCATGCTTCTGGACAAAGTGGGTCTTGTTCTGACCTATCAGCAGAGATGTCTTATGCTTTTATTGCATTTCAACACACGGTCACTGGTCAGCCCTCTGTACGTAACTCTCCGGCGCTAATTAGCGTTAATGAGTTGCTGGAACCTGTTACGAGATACACAGTCTGCAGGGTAACCATGATTGGCTTTATTCCAATTTCGATTAAGTGTGATATTATTATCGTGATTACAGATTTGGTAATATCACCAACTGAGCGGGGCCTGATCAAACAGACACCCCCAATATGTGACTTACACAAAATAAGTATTCATTTTGCCATCTGCTCTTGTCACTAATCATGTAATAAGTCCAGTGCGTGTCCCGTCCAACGTCATATCCGCAGATAATGTTAATCTCGTGTTGTCCTTTCCTCATTTATATGTGGCCCTATTCTAGTTTGTTTTTTTTGCCAAAGCGTCAACGGCCAAAAGATTCATACCTGGAGTTCGTTAAAATAGGAATACTGTTCACACCAGAACCTAACATCAGTTCCGAATGGAAAGCTGATAAGAAAACTAATTGGTTATCTTCCATATGAATCTATCTGTCAGTGTATTGGTGTGGTTTTTACAAACCAATTACACCGATTTAGTAAATCTACATGGTTTTTCCGGATTCCCTCTATGCTCGATACTTAGAGAATTAAGTGTTCAAAAGGTGGGGCCAGGAAGCTTCAAACATTGTCTAATTGCTGCAGACCAATGAAGAGGCGACAAACGGGATCGGATGGTCAGGCTCGCTGACTTGGTTGGTGCATGTCATCAATCCCAATTGCGTGGGTCGATGCTCATGTTATCAATTACTGGATTGTCTGGTCCAGACTCGATTATTTATAGACCCCCGTCATATAGCTGGAATATTGCTGAGTGCGGCGTTAAACAACAAAACAACCAACCAAAAACTAATAGCTGCATGTGATGGTGCACGTATTGGAAGCTGCATGTGTCAAGGTTGCCTCCCCCACGCGTATCAGACCTTGGCATCACATCGTGTATACATACAACACTTAACTTAAATGTAGTGCACATATACACAATTAGTTGTCTCACATCAACTACCGCCATCCTTCTAACTTGATTGGCAGCAAACCTCTATGTCCGGTAGTACCAACTGCCTCGACTCTGGGGACGGGCTACTGTTTCTCCTCACAGACGTTAATGGTATAACTCGCTTGAAATCGATGTGAGTTTTCCTCTTTGAACACCCCCGCATGTTTGCGTAGAATCCGTTGCTCAGATCAATAGATACAGCTTTGTGTAATCTCGATGTGGGCGATATGAGAAATGATACTAGCCCTCATCAAGGAATAGGACTGGCTGTAAGTGTTCTGTTATCCGAGTGCTGAGTCCACGTCCGAAAATTCAGATTGATCTAATCCGGACAGTTGGGAATAGTTAGGACTACTTTGTCAGAATGTTTCGTTACCATGGTTACGTATGCGTGGGAGTCTCCAGCAAAGATTGGCGCGGCCCCAGTCGTGTATTAGAGCTGGCCTTATAACTAGTGTGTTATGTGAACTGGAGATGTAGTTTAAAGTGATTAAATGACACAATGTTTGCCTGCACGTGAGATGAAGCATAAGATAACAATGCCAGTAGGTTAGTTAGATTTATGAGATTACGTTGATAGTTTCATACCGTGAAACACGGTGCAGGTGAATACTATATACACCTATAAACGTATTATCTTTGCACAAGAACAATATGGGGAGCCGATTTACCAATACATTGCAATACGCGAATATATATTCTAGTGAGTATGGCTTTACGCCATATTCAATAGCATTATTCAATTGAGCAATATCACGGTGGGAGACACCACAAATGTATCTTTTTTTTACATGCACCTCCTCATTACATTGTGTTGTAAAATTGTAAAAGAAATATAGAATGAGAAGTAGAATCAGGTTTTATCAAATAGAGTGAAGGTATAAAAATGTAGGTAATCGCGAGTCTCTAATTTAGATTATATTCTACGAGGTACAAGGAATAGCGACGTATCTGTCCCCATTGCATTAAGTTTGTAAGTTCCCGAGGTTATCCGTTATTCCGAGTTGAGAGTCACACCACGGAACAGTCCTACCATGAACCTCAGTCATACCATGGGACAGTCCTACCATGAACCTCAGTCACACCATGGAACAGTCCTACCATGAACCTCAGTCATACCATGGAACAGTACTCCATGAACCTCAGTTATACCATGGAACAGTCCTACCATGAACCTCAGTTATACCATGGAACATTCCTACCATGAACCTAAGTCATACCATGGAACAGTCCTACCACGAACCTCAGTCATACCATGTTGCAGCCCTACCATGAACCTCAGTCATACCATGGAACAGTCCTACCATGAACCTCAGTCACACCATGGAACAGTCCTACCATGAACCTCAGTCATACCATGGAACAGTCCTCCATGAACCTAAGTCATACCATGGAACAGTCCTACCATGAACCTCAGTTATACCATGGAACATTCCTACCATGAACCTAAGTCATACCATGGAACAGTCCTACCATGAACCTCAGTCATACCATGTTGCAGTCCTACCATGAACCTCAGTAATACCATGTAGCAGTCCTTCCATGAACCTCAGTCATTCCATGGAACAGTCCTACCATGAACCTCAGTCATACCATGGAACAGTCCTACCACGAACCTCAGTCATACCATGGAACAGTCCTACCATGAACTTCAGTCATACCATGCAGCAGTCCTACCATGAACCTCAGTCATACCATGGAACAGTCCTATCATGAACCTCAGTCATACCATGGAACAGTCCTCAATGAACCTCAGTCACACCATGGAACAGTCCTACGATGAACCTCAGTCATACCATGTGGCAGTCCTACCATGAACCTCAGTCATACCACGGAACAGTCCTACCATGAACCTCAGTCATATCATGAAACAGTCCTACCATGAACCTCAGTCATACCATGGAACAGTCCTACCACGAACCTCAGTCATACCATGTAGCAGTCCTACTATGAACCTCAGTCATACCATGGAACAGTCCTACCATGAACCTCAGTCATACCATGGAACATTCCTACCATGAACCTCAGTCATACCATGGAACAGTCCTACCACGAACCTCAGTCATACCATGGAACAGTCCTACCATGAACCTCAGTCATACCACGGAT